GATTCTGTGATGAAGGTTGAAAATGGTCAATTTTCTCCTTTCCCGTACAGCCCAAGCCTGAGAACGCCATCACCATCGCCGTGTCCTCGCGGGCGCTGTTCCGCATGGAGGAGGAGCAGAAGATTTACAACGAGCAAGGGGTGGAAGCCTACGTGAAATACCAGCTGGACCACGAGAACGAGCCCTTCCTCCCTGGGGCTGCCTTCCCCTTTGTCAAGGTGAGCTCCCACCCGCCCAAGGGGGATCTGCACCGTGGTCCTGGCTCAAAGCTCTGAGGAGAGGGGAGCGTTTTGGGATGTTTGTGTGGGGAAGGGATGTGGCCACAGAGCAAAGAGAAGGCAAGTGAACCTCCTGGCAAGTGATGCTCTTCTTCCAGGACTGAGGAAACGCTGAGTTTTCCAAATTGGCAGCTGAAGAAATAATCTCTTTGGATTATACTTTAAGTTTCCCTTTAGAGAATTCTCATATCTTTATTTTTTTCTTTTTATTACAATTTATTTATTCTTTTAAATTGGCTGAATTCAGCCATGCTACAGAGCCAGCCAATTTCTAATTCTGACGTGTTGAAACGAGGCATTTCAAGCTTTAAACATATTTTCCGATTTCTGCCCCAGTTTCTCTGGATTTCGTGCAGTTTTGCCTGCTGGCCCGTGCTGAAGCAATCTCTTGCCCATTCCCAATGAATAAACTAATCCACTTGGTGGGGAGAGACTTGTTCCGTTCCTGATTGCTTGCAAAACACTTATCTGTAACATTGAGCTCATTTCTTCTCCTCTCCTAAGGAAAATTAGAAACCTTTTGTGTTTGAAAATAGAAACGTAGCTGTGTGTTTTTCCCCAAAATCAGCCCGTTTTCCCCAGCTCAAGCTGCTGGCTGATGTCAGCTTGGCTCAGGGTATAGTTGGGGTCGGGCCAGCTCCCTGGTTTTGGTGTTGTGCCCCATGGGAAGGGGGTGAGGGCTGTGCCTGGGGGTCTCTAACCCCCGCCCGGGCTCCTGCAGGCGCTGGAGGCGGTGAACACGCAGCTGCGTGAGCTGTACCCCGACAGCGAGGAGCTCTTCGACATCGTCCTCATGACCAACAACCATGCCCAGGTTGGGGTGCGCTTGATCAACAGCATCAACCACTACGGTAAGCTGAGGGCAAAGCCGTCCTTTACGTGGGTGCTGATGGAGTTGGGGCAGGGTGTTATCTCTCAGCAGCAAGATTTGGAGGTGCTTTCTCCTGTCTCTTCCTCCAAGCCACGTGCTGACCCCGTTTCTCCCAAATTTCCTGGCTTTGAGTTGGCTGGTGGTGAGGATGCTCTGGCCGTGCTGTTGAAGGGCAGTACCAAAATTAGCCCCCATCCTGCCAGCTCTTGGGAGGCCACCGGGGAGCAGCATCAAGGCTTGTTTGGGGGGTAACTGGGCTCACCCCAGGGTCCCTCTGCCCTCAGATCTGTTCATCGAGAGGTTCTGCATGACGGGAGGGAACAGCCCCATCTGTTACCTCAAGGCCTATCACACCAACCTCTACCTCTCCTCTGATGCAGAGAAAGTGAGTGGGGCCATTGAAGAGGGTGAGTCTGGGGTCCAGCTTGGGTTGGGGGGCTGCGGGGGGAGCCTGGAGCCCTCGGGGGGTTGGTACCAGGAACAATAGCTCCAGTGTCCCTGTCCCTACATCACTGGGGCCTGCCTTGTCCCACATTCCGCTCTTGATGCTCCAAAGAGCCTCTAGTTTCCATGGAAATAAGGCTTTCCTCAAGCTCCACAGCTCTTCCAAGCCAAAAGCACTGGTTTTCCCCATTAATTCTTGTATGTAAAGGGAGATTTGTCATGTGGGAACTCTTTTTTTGCTGTAAAAGGCTTTGGGGCCAAGCTGCAGGCACTACTGGGTGCATCTCCTTGCAGTGTTTGCTTCCAACCCATCGTGTTTTGCTCTGCTCCTCAACGGATGAGCCACGAGGCTGGGTCCTGGGGTAACTGTCACCTCGTGCTTTACCTCCACAGGAATCGCTGCGGCCACCATCTTCAGCCCCAGTAAAGACCTGGAGGTGTCGGAGAACCAGCTCCGGGTGGCATTCGACGGCGACGCCGTGCTCTTCTCGGATGAGTCGGAGCAGATCGTGAAGGCTCACGGCTTGGACATGTTCTTTGAGCATGAAAAGGCCCACGAGAACAAGCCTCTGGCACAGGTAGCGCTGGGATGCAGCCAGGAAAAGCCTCTGGGAGAAAGCTGGTCCACAGGGATGCTCTTAGCTCTGGGAAGCAGCCAAGGGTTGGCATGAAATGGTGGGGTCAGCAGCCTGATATTGCTGGATTGGCCCCATGGGATGGCCGTGGCTGGCTCCTTGCTGTTATTTTTGGGGGTTCGCAGGGAGAAGGGGTCAGGCAGCGTTTCTGGCTCTGCTGGGACTGGCTACCTGCAGGAAGGGCTAGCACCGAGATCTCGGCAGTGATGGTTTCTTCTTGCTTTGGCAGGGACCCCTGAAGGGCTTCCTGGAGGCTTTGGGAAAGCTGCAGAAGAAGTTTTACTCCAAGGGGCTGAGGATGGAGTGTCCCATTCGCACCTACCTGGTGACCGCCCGCAGCGCGGCCAGCTCGGGGGCCCGGGCCTTAAAGACTCTGCGCAGCTGGGGCCTGGAGACGGACGAGGCCCTGTTCCTGGCCGGGGCTCCCAAGGGGCCGCTGCTGAGGAAGATCCGGCCCCACATTTTCTTCGACGACCAGATGTTCCACGTGGAGGGAGCCAAGGAGATGGGCACCGTGGCTGCCCACGTCCCCTACGGCATCGCCCAGAAGCACAAGCGGCCGGCGCAGGAGAAGCAAACCCCCAACAGCAAATAGCCGAGCTTGGATGGTCCCACGGCCCCCGGCACCGACTTCACCACGATCCCACAGGGGTTGTGGTCTGCGAGGGGGAGAGCGTTTGCCCCAGCGAGTGTGAGGTTATTCCCAGTTGGGAATTCCCTTGGCAGGGGCACGGATGGAGGAAGGGGCTGACCAAAGGCTTCCTTTCGATGCTGTATTCGTTGCGATGTCGTGGTGGTGTCCCCATGGGGTCGGAGACTCCCCCGCGCACTGGGCAGCCCCATGAGCCGTTTCCCTCATTCTTCTGCACTTGCTTCAGGCAAAATCCCCCGAGGAGGGGTCTGGCCTTTTGTGGACTGGTTGTGCCGGGCAGGTTTCACCTATTGGTGTTTCTTTAAAACCCCAGGTAATTCCCAAAGCCCTTGATTTACAAAGCAAATGTTCAGGCTGAACTGTTGAACTGGAGCACACAAAACCCCTTCTTGCAGCTTCGAAACGAAACGTCGTCCCTTTTAACTAAAGTTAAACAGTAAGGTTGTTCCTGCACAGATCCAGCCCCTGCTCTCCCCAACCAGAAAATCTTCCACGTCTGTGTCCTTCCAAGAAGATTTTGTCATCTGAACAGCCTCCCTTTCACGCACTAAATTTGGAAAAATAGAAACAAACACTTATATATTAAAAAAAACCCAAATCCCATTTCCTGCTTGGAGCTTTGGGCCAGTGTATTGTTAGCCCAGGTTTTTAAATGTGGGTGTCACAGCTGTATGAGTTAGCACTTAAAAATAATCACCCAAAGCCCAGCTCCTGTGTGAGCCGTCCAGGGTCTGCAGACACATGCCTAGGGCTGGAATTACCTTAAAAGCAAGCCCTACTATATTAGGGACATCATTTGAAGTCCATTTAGGTAAATCTGCAGAGAATTTCAGCCTGGAGGTTTAAATTAAAGGATCTTTTTCCCCTGTCTGGGCTGAGCCCATATGAGTTGATAATCCTTTTCTCCTCAGCTCCATAAAACCTCTGGTGTTTCCGAAAATAGACGCATTTGCTCGTGATGCTGCGAGCGAGAACCAAATCTGCGATTATAAAACAGGAGGAGAAATCAATTGGGGAAGCTGCTCCGAAAATGTGAAGATGATTTCTTGTGGGTTTTTTAAAATCTTTTTGGTTTTTTTAGGCAGTGCAACCCCATGGTTGGGCACAAAGGATGCCCAGTGGTATCAGTAGTCCACTACAAACAGCAGCTCCATGGGCTGAAGCTTTCCCAGGTACTTTTCTGCCTCTGGCTCGGCTTTGCAGGGAAGTTTTGGCTAAAACCGCTCAGCCCTTCCCGGCAGAGCTCGACTTACTGCACTTTGGACAAATATCTAAACACGCTGGTGATGCCTTTGGTGGCGTGGGAGACTGTTTTCTCATTGCACTAAATCCTGCAGCGAAAAGCAAATTGCACTTTTTTTACCCCCACCCCAAATTATTTCACTTGACAGACTGTAATTTGTCACATCTGGGTGGCAAGCACCTTAGAGAGGAAGGTCTAAAATCCAACTGAATAAAGAAAAGGTCTTGAAAGAAATGAGTATCTCAGTAACGCACCTACTAATGTACAGGTCTACTGAAAGGTCTTGTCTTTTTTAATGTGAACCCCACATATTGGGATCTGAACTGTGTCTTGGAGACCTTTTTGGCAGCTGGGGAGCAGCCTGGTCTCCCAGCCAACATTTCCAAGGTGGTAATGGCAGCCCAGCTGAGCCCAGCTCACAGATGAGCATCACTGAGACCTCCTGTCAGCCCAGAGGTGACATTGTGGGTGGAATAGCCTTGTCCTTAGGGATGACCAAGGGCAAGGTGCTGCTGGGGTGGGTACAGGGTGCGAGCACAGCTGCTAGGGATGCTCTTTTTGGATGAGGAGTGTTGGCAGGGCTGGGCAGTGCAGGAGGAGATGCCCTGTCTGAAGATGCCGTTATCTCCAGGGAAGCAAATGTGTTGTGTTTCTGGAGCCCTGCTGCAGGCCCTGAGATGCAGAGGGTGCAAGCCAAGGGCAGGGGCACAGCACAGGCAGGGGCTTTAGTGACTCTGCTTTGGGTCTTCCTGCTGCTGGGGCAGCTTAGGGGCTCACTGAGGGACACAGGGCCCGGGAAACAGCCCCAAATGAGGTGGGACCTCACCGAGTCCTTCCCATGCAGGGACGACTTCCCATCCCAGCAATGGCTGCCCCGTTTGCTTTTATCCACATGGCTTCCCATGTTGTTTTTTCTCCTCCATCACTGCAGCTGGCGGACGTGGGTTTGCTGCTTGTGTACTTCCCTTGTGTGTGTGCCCATCCGTGCCAACCCTCGGGCTGGGGAGGACAATGTGGTCCCTGGGCCGGGCTGGGCACATCTCCCATCCCGCTGTGCCATGTGCGGTTGTGCCTCTTGTGGCTGAGGACTGGGTTTTCCTGCTGTGTGTTGTTGCTGTGGGTTTCATTTCATTGTCTCCCAGCGGTTTTTCTCGTGAATGGACACTGCCTTGTTAATGAAATCCCTCCGGGTGTTTTTCTGTAATAAAACTGTGTTGGTCCCAGCCTGGCGCTCTCCGTTGCCATTCTCACTGGGGGTATTTCCCAGCAAGAGAGTCTGCGGTCCCAGCGTGGGACCTCCCAGGTTTTATGGTGAAGGGGTGGAGGTGAGGGGAAAAAAAGGGCGCTTTTTTGGGATTTAAGGGAATTCAACGTAATAAAAGCAGCTACCTGGGAATTGGAGACCTCTGGGAGAGGTGGGATTGCAGGGTTGAGGGATGTGCTGTGATACAGCTGCCTCCCTCCGCGTTGTGAACAGGCTTTTGTTGTAACCTGGGCTCGTGATGAAGTCCTGGATAAAAATACAGTTTGGCAGAAGGCTTTTGTCGACTTGATCTTCTCCCAGCCAACAGGTGGGAGGCAGCAAAAGCTTTTCAGAGGAGATTTATGGCTGCTGAAGTACCGGGTTTATCCGAAGAGCGACACTGCAGTTCTGCCGTTAGCTCCTCCCCGCCAATAAGGGGAACAGATGGGTTAAAGGGAAGCAACAAATTCTCCATCCGTCACCAAATATAGCCAAGGAATGTCCATAGGCCCCAGGGCAACATCTCTGCTATGGGTGTTTGTTTAAGGAGTGGAGGGCCCTTGGTTCTTATGCAGCCTTGTTTGGTGGGTTGCCCATCCCCAACCCTGCAGGCTCTTCCACCAGGTGCCTGGAGGAAAGAAAATCAACCTCCAGCACTGATAAGGCCCATGTTGCACCAGTGAAAGCCCACGTGGACCCACCCAGCCCCACGAGGTCAGGATGCCAAAGGCAAGATCTGCCCCTGACGTTCATGCAAAGCCCACCCCAAGTCCATGACTCGCTCTTGGGGACCAGCGTTGGGACCAAGGAGCCAGCGGGTCATGGAGAGACATGGGCCACGGCCACGCAGGGAGGTTTGTGCCATTGAATCTGTGATATCTTGTGGTTGGTTTGCTGCAAAATTCAGTTTTCATTCCTGTTGTCCGTTTTCTGAGCTTTTTCCTTCATCAGGCATCCAAGGGCTTTGCAGTGAGTGTGCTTTCAAACGAAGAAGATGGAGGAGGAGAAAGCGGAGGCAGAGCTGATGGAGAATTATGCTGCCACTCAGCTGTTGTCACCACAGATGTTCACGAGGTAATCATGGCCTTTGAATAGCAAGAACAGCCTTTCATAATGAACCCAGAATTCAACCCCAAGAATTTGGGGGGCTTCTTGGTAAGGGTGTGAGACCCTCGATGACCAGCTGCATGGTAGAGAGGATGGGCAGAGTGTGGGTGCTGTGTTCTCATGTATGTGGGGTAAGTCATAACACCTCCCTGCCTCAGTTTCCCCATCACTATAACAGAGATCAGAATGAGCCAGAGGTAATGTCTTCCTTGCAGAAGAAAAGCAGAAATTCAGGAGTGCTCTTAAGTGTAGTGAAGCCCAACATCTCTGTGGTGATGCCTGCATGCCCAGCAGCAGGTCCCAGCGTGTAGGGGCCATGCAAACACAGGGCTGTCCCTACAACCCTGTGATGCAGACTCTGAAGGGTCCCAGGCTGTGCTGGTGGGGACGTCACCGTGTCCCTGCAGATCATTTCATTTTATGTCCTTTCTGGAGAGCAGAATAGGGGCCAACGACCACGAGCAGGGATCTGCAGCCATCCCAGGAGGCTGAAATATCAGGGCAGGGGACCTGGTGACAAGGTGACAGAAACACCCGGAGTTGGAAGAATAGATAAGAGGACCTGGCGGCAAGAGAACAGGCGAAGGGCACTCGCTATCAGCGCTAGCAGGGCCGTGCCAGGATTTGGACAGCCTGCCCATCTCGTTCCTTTGACACCGCTATTTATAGTGGTGGTTACTGATGCCTCTGTCACCGGAGCCTAAAATGGTGCACTCAGGGCTCAGCCATCCCGCGCTGGGGAGGCCACCAACGAAGCAGTGACTCGATGGGGTGTGCGTGAAGCTGCTCGTCGCTCCGCTGACAGAGGATGCTGGCGTCTCCCTCTGCCAAGAGGCAGCTCCCACTGGGCCAGCATCCTTGGAAGATGCACTGGATGATTTGGTTTTAAGGCCTGGCCCCTCACCAGGAGGAGTCAGTGGGGTAAATAGACCCACTTTGCACCTCACGTCTTCCTTCACCCCCAGAACTGGGCTTGTCTGGAAACCAGTGGTTTCCACAGCTTGATGTTGGTCCTTAAAGTAGCTGTGGGGATAGCTCTGTGCATTGCTTCTGCTGGTGGAAATAACTCTTTGGTTACTGGGCTGGAGCAACACACAAGAGGGCAAAAATCTTGTGACTGCAGAGCAAATGTGCCCCTGGAGATTTGCCTTTTACCAAACTGCTTCGTTTTCCCAGTTCTGCCCATGCCAGTGAGCGCTGGAGGCGGAGATCTCTCTGTCCTGGCATTTTCCCATTCCTGCAGCGAAGGCTTCGTTACCAGGGCTGCACTTCAAAGCTTCGCTGGCAGCGCTGTGCTGGAGAGGACTGCGCAGATAATCCCACCAAGGAGGAGAGGAGGGGGTCTCCACAGCCCTGCGGCTACAGATGCCAGGCAAGTACGGCTGCACGCCCCAGCCCCACACTGTTGGGAGCTTGGCACGACCGGTGCCAGATTTGCCAATTGAATGACTCGAGAGGAGATGGGCATTGGTGTTTTTAAAAAAATACACAAATAAACCCCTCAGGGATAGCATCCAGCAGTCCTGTGCACAGGGTGGGAATTTTGCTTGTTTTATTTCAGGGCAAATTGCATGGTTATCCCTTCTGTTGACGGTAAAAAAGGGATGCAGAGTCCATGACCAGCTCTGAAATTGTAAGCTTTACTCGATGGGAACTCATATCCCACTGGTCAGCGGTACTGGCTCACACCCGTGCTGTGGCTGTGTCCTTGTCACTGTGTCCATCAGCTGCAGTTTCCCCCTCGAGATAAAGCAAACCCATCTGGGGCCATGCAAGTTAACATCCGCAGGCAGCGGGGTTGATGCTGTCCCCCCCCAAAATGGGGACTGCTTCCTTCTGTAAGGCCACCGCCTTACAAAAACACTGCCCAGAGGCTGTAAAGCCCCGAGTGAGGACTGGCAGAGTCTTATCTGGGGAATTGTGTGAGAGGGAGGATAAATGAGGGAAAATTTGCTCTGA